GGAAGTCAGAAGCGAGCCAAAGACAGAGCGCATGTGCAAGTGAGGCCTTGATCTCCAACCCAAAGGGTCCAAGTACTAGTATAGTATATACTTTTGGGGCTCAAATACCTACTAAGTACCTACTACAATGGTACTTGGACCCTTTGGGCAAGGTTCTTGGTGCTGTAGGAGGGTGTAGGGCCCGCACCAGAAGCTTGAGATTTCCGTCCCACATCCCTGCTTCCTGGACTTCAGAGATCCGATGTGGCTGGCCCACAAGGTTGCACGCACTTGTACTGAAGCACTGTAGCAGTGACCTCTGGTGAGTTTGAGCACAAATGCTGAAGCCTTGATGAACACTTTCCGAATTTTCGGTGTGGATGCGGCTCGATTGCTTGAGCTTTGCTTGAGTCTCTGCCGTCGAATGCAACCCTGCCACGCTCCGGAGGGAGCTCTCACAAACCAGCACATGAAACCGTGACAAGACAGCATGTCAGACAAAATTGTCATGTTCCATGACATATAGTCAAGCAGCTTGCGGAACATGTGGCGTGCTAGAGTTGAACCCTGAGGCTAAACTTGAACCTCAACCAACTCCAGACACCCACCTGTCTCCTTGTATACTTCCTTGGGCCATCGAGCGCAGATGGTCAAGCGGAAGGCTGGGTGTTGCTGGAAATCAGCATTAGCACTTGCGGCCGGCAGTTGAACCGAGCTTAGCGAGCCATGTGAGAATCATCAAGTCATTTGTCAGTCTAGATTCCACTAACTTGCTTTTCTACTTCTTCGTCCTCCTGCAGTACGAAGCAGTGATATCCCACTCGGGGAGCTGAATCAGCATCACATGCCCCTGGAGACAGATAAAGTGCCCCACCCAAACATCCCGACTGAAATATCATGGCTTGTGAGAAACCCTGGGACAATTCACGAGAATCCTACTGTAATGGCATCTAGCAGATCTGCGACCTGCAGGCCGAGCCCAGGACCGGCATGTCTGAAAACCGAAACCCTCAACCTTAATCTAAAACCCTTTACACCTGAACTTTAAGTCGGAATACTACCAAGCTATACAGCTAGACTCCATGCGGACGCTTTGAAAGAGGCTTCTGCCATGGATAGCGTCGAAGCCCCAGCCGCCGCCTGGCCCCGAGCGCTTCGGGCTTCTGGCTCGGGCTCGGTGATTACAATCGAAGGTTTAGGGTCGGGTTTAGGGTTTTAGGGTTTAGGGTTTAGGGTTGATGTCCTAA